TGCCGGAGGAGGGGCCATCTGATTGCCAAAGGCAGGAGCCATTTAGTCGGATCATTTATTGCAATGACTTTACTTTTCATTAAAAAATCTCAGGATTTAATGCGGTAATGTTGTATTATCCGGCCGGCTGCCGGATAGGTTTCTGCGCCGCGAGCACAAGGTTCGCACTGATACGACCGCGATTAACTGACGACAACACTGTCTCTGTCGTTTACTCTATAACTGACGAAATCTTTATTGAAGCTCTCAATAAAATAGGGTTAACAGACTGATTGGATGGTCTATGGGTAGATGGACCAATCTGATGGGTCGACAGACAGACAGACGGACGGACCCGTGTAATATTAGGAAAATAACACAATTACTTACTGTACATGTAGATAATACAGCATTTACCACACACACTGCACGGTGCAAATACTGTGCACACACACTGGTAGTAAAAAGTCATAGGTCCTACACTGTGGTTGGAGTGTATAGCCTTGAGTTCTTGTTAACCAAAACACAGCTGTGAAAACGTTTGGACCACTGAAGGAATGTGACAAATTACACAACACTTTTCTTGGGAAGTCTCAACACAACACATCATAAAATGACTTAGCACACAAGTAGAACCTCTTAATCTGTGTTGGTGAGCATATACTAACTTTCCAATCTGGCATACAAAATCATGTAAAAACAGTTGCAAAAGTCAGAGTGTGAAACTGCTTGGAATATAAATATACGATATAATTCCGGAGCTAACCTGGATGTGCTAACTTGGCTTCTCTACTACTACTGGCTACATCTGCCTCAACACAATTCAACACAGATGCCACTTGAGCTATATCATAGGACAGAAATTTATCCTTACAAGGTGTACAATCATCCTTAATTACAAACTAGGACATTGTTGAATCGAGTGTGCCAAACAAGGAGATAATCAAAACAAATGGAGAGAAGAGTACACTGTAAAATAACTTCAGGTGAATGCCATGATTGTGATTGATCATAAAAACAAGCTAACAATACAAGTCCATCAACATCAGAAGTAACACAGTCTATAATACTAAGTCATCAAAATAAATTTAAATGAAGTTACACACAGGTAGATAACTAAGGACAGCAACTCACCCCATATGGCTACTGTGTAGACTCGAGTGTTGGGCTGTTTACTAGTGGTCTGCTGGGTGGTGGTGCAGACTGAATTCTGACCCTGACATGGGCCCTTAAATGCCTGTTACAGTCTCTTGATGGATGTTTCCATCAAGAATATGATTGGTCACTTGCAAGTTTGATCAAACTTTCCTCAAAGTTTGATTTGCATATAAGCTTCCCCATTGGTCAAATCTTTTAAGGCTCATTGTGTAACTCTGCTATCAGCAGGTTCAGCATATTTTCTCCTAGGTTCCAACAACCTGCAACCTCCACTTTGATGAATCTCCTGACATTCTGTTTCTAAAGATACTTGGTCAGGACTGTGGGAAAGTTCCCCTAAAACAATGGACTGGATTAGCAAGTGGGGTAAACATCATGACCCCCACCATTGCATACCACAGATAGTTCCATTTGGGTTGCATAAGGTTGGAAAATATCCCGGGAAA